TAGGAAACACCTGAGAGTGAAATGAATTAATTGCATTGGATTTACTGATAAAAACCTTATGTGAGCTTTTCCATTCTCTCCCTAGTCCAGTCTCTTAATCGCTAAAATTCACGTTTTCCTATAGCATAGAATGCTGTGAAGGCCAATTTTATCCCACTGTGGATCTGAAATTGCAAACTGCTGTTCAGCGTTAATAAAAATTTGTCAAGTAGAGGCCTCTGCTTTGGATTTGGCTTGCTAATTAGGAGTGTGTTGCTAATAGCGGTTCAAATTGGTGCTTTATTATGAAAATGCCCCAAAGACTCTGCAGGCTGCACTTTAACAAAACAGAGAGTAGAGGTGTGCTATGGGTCTCACCTCAGGAGAGAGTTACTTAGAGCTCAGTATGCTGTAATGGTATTTGTTAGGACGGTTGTGTGCTCCACTTAATGACTTCATTGAGGTGAGTCTAGAATCTTATACTTGTTCCAATACCGAAGCTGAATAAGGATTATCAGGGCATCTTGAACTTAATTTTTCATCAAATCGGAACATTTCAGTGGCGCTTCAAGACAGCAAAGCTCTCCACATTCACGGATTTTACAGGTGGTTCATAGAATGCAGTAGGGTTCCCCACGTTTCTTCATCTTCTTATCAGAAAAAGAATCTGTCAAGCCTGGACAGATAGAATAGCAACTTAGCAGTGGTTTATTTTGATCGTAATTGGTTGAATAAGCCCAGACTAAGCTATGATGGCTTAGAGCAATATATGAACTCTGGTAGCCTGAAGAATCCACCATTGGAAGCATCCCATTGCTAGTATCCTTCTAAAAATACAGTCACTACTGTATTTTTAGTCTTGGTATAAATAGTCTTGGGCACCATTGGAAGTCATTCCCCAGGAGGGCAAAAAATATTAAACAGAGTTTCCCATCCTTCCATTTTTTTCTGCAAATAAGCATCCATGTAATATGATTTCTCATAAAATCAAAAACTGGATGCTTTCCAGTGCTCATCCAAATGGTATCTGCCCTTTATTGCTTTCTTTGAAAAAAAAAACGGTGGGAAGAGAGAGCAGTCCTTTTATAGTGCAGTCGGATCAACTGTTTTACTCTCATTCTGAGTAGGAACTGATCCCCATGCCACCTCTGTGTGGGAGCAACATTTCTTACAAATAAATAGACCCCTTGCCTTTTAGGAGGAAAAAAACAATCATAAAGATATTTTTTGAAGACCCAAATAAGGCCCTAGTTAAATTAGAAATGCTGCCTTTAGGTTAGGGCATCTTTTGTGTGGAACTACGTGTGTGTCTAGAAAAAAAAATAAATTACAGAGCATTTTAGATGTTGCCTTTCCCTGCACAGAGCCACCTCGGAAACGTTTTGAAATGTGGACCGAGAGAGATCATGAAAGCAAGGGGGAAGACTACTTTGTTGTACAAAATTTGGAGTTGAAGGGGAGATTTCTTCGTAGGCGAGAATGGATGGGCTGGAGAACTTGAAAGCTTGCATGTGCGTTTGTACTCATTTGTTAATAAGCGTATCACCCAGCTTTGAATTTTTTTATTCCAATGGATCAAGTTAGAGTGCAGCTTGTTTAGTGATGACGGTGGTGGGTTTCACAAGGGCTCTGCAGCACCCTAGATATGGTTACCCCATTTCAGTGACATTAAATTGGGAGATGTATTTACTCTAATAGGAAGCTGAATAGGTGTGCACCTATTTTACTTACGAAGCCTCCAAAAGCCCAAAACAGAAATAGACCCCCATCTCTGGGGATATCCCCATGTCATTATCATTTCTCCTCTAGCTTTCGGAAGCCTTAAAAAAGGGCATTGCCAGGGACAAAAATATTCCCAGATTATGGCATATCTTATTGTATGATCCCTGCTACTATCGATTTTCTCTTTAAAAAAGCCACTTAAGCCTACTTATCTTCTTAGTGCTCTGTGAATATGAATTTCAAAGGTTTTATTCACTGTGCCAAGAAAGTACTTCCGTTTTGCTTCTTTTTAATGTTGCCAGTCAATTTAATGGAAGGTTTCCATGTCCTAAGGTGATTTAATTCTGTTTACCCTCATGATTTATAAACCTTCTTGCCTTGTGTTAAATCCCCATCTTGGTATGGAAGAACCTTGTAGCAATCTGAAAGCAAACTGGTATTCTCTTTAATGCACATAATTTTAATCATTGTGGTAGGAAGGAAGGAAGGAAGGAAGGAAGGAAGGAAGGAAGGAAGGAAGGAAGGAAGGAAGGAAGGAAGGAAGGAAGGAAGGAAGGATGGAAGGAAGAGATAGCTAACTAGCTAGAGGATGGATGGATGGAT